GAACCCCCCCCCCGCCCCCCTGCCCTGGAATAGAGTCACACGGATAGAGCCCGGGGATCTGTATTTTCATGGACCCCCCCTGCCCCCCCCACCCCCACAACAAGGGGATTCTGACGTGGACGATCCAACGTTTGAGAAACACGAGTCTCAATACATCTGGGAGGACTGACCGAGAAAGAACCTAAGCACCAAGTGGGCACCGACCGGGTACCCCGGATTCAGCCCGAGAGGGTAGCTTGGCCAGACGCAGCAAAAACAGACGCACAAACACGCCCCCCACCCCCACAGGAAACAAGAACGACGAAGGGGTCCCGGTGAGAGGTGGACGTTCAGTAAACGGTGACAAGGGTTTAGGGTAGGTGTGTCCCATGCAGTTACTGGGACGCGCGTGGGTTTTGGACCTCTGATAACAGCTGTCACTTTGGCTTCTCAAAACTGCACCGCCCCCTCGAGCTTCTGGGGCTGCGTGGGCTCGGGTTGAAGTAGGCTTCTTGGGAGCCACGGAATGAGGGGGAGGCCGCCACCCTGCTCTTTGGGGCCAGTTGGCTGCCTCCAGTCGGTGTCGTTTGCCAGGGCCGGAGGCGGAAAGAAAATAGAAAATGCGAAGTCGTGAGCGCAGGCCTGTTTGTGTTGACAGGTGCGAGGAGGCGGAGGGAGGGGCAGCTGTGTCCCCAGCCAGGCCCTGGGGGGCTCCTCCTGACAACTGGGGAATAGGAGGCCGGGGCCTGAGCACGTCAGGGTGTCCCAGGGCTGGACACCCAGGACACGGGGTGTCCTCCTGAGAACACGGCCCCCGGGCTTGGAGACTAGTCCCCCTTTCCTTCCAGTGTCCCCCCACCCTCTTCTCAATAACACAGAAAGAAAACTGGGGTCTCCTCTGCATTTTGCCCCTAGAATCCAGTTTCCAAGTTGTTAGGGAAGTTTCTGACTTAGAGAGATTCTAGTGCCCTGCCTCGCGGAAGGCAGCTCGGCCTCCAGGCCGGATGATGCTGCCTCTGCCCCCGGTGGGGTACTTGGGGAAAGCAGTGCCCTGTAGGCTCTGGTTTGGGGGCCAGGCACCTGGGAGGTGACCATGGTCCTGGAGACCTGGAACCCCGGCATGGTGGTCCCAGCCTGCACGGAGCCTCAGCCTGGGTCCCTGGAGGAGGCCCCCCACCTTGCCTCGTACCTGGGCATGGGAGTGGTCTCGAGGGGTGGCCTTGCCTGGGAGAGAGCAGGACACGGGGCCTCCACTAGCCCGGAAGGGTGTTCTCATATCGAGAAGGAAGATGGCCACTCTTGGGCAGACTTGGCCAGCTCTAGGGCAGAGGGCTTGGCAAACGGAACATGATAACCCATTTGCCGTGCCTTTGTGCAGTGAACATCTTAGACAACCGTACATGGAAACCCTTCAGGGAAATATTCCTGGACCTGTCTTACCTTCTCAGCGATTTCTCTCCCGTTCTAAGTCTTCATTCCTCAGCCAAATGAAAGTGGAAGGAAATAGGAAGAGGAGGAATGTGGTTCACCTTCTGGTTCCTTGCGGATCTGTTACGTGTGTCTTCCTTGGGATGGACCAGGGCCCCTGTCACAGCCTGGGATTAGTTTCCCTTTGTACTTCTGAGCAAGGCTTTCTTAAGTTGTGACTCTTTGGGCCACGTTGCTGAGGTTCTGGGCACCCCTGGGTGTCCCCATGCGGTCTCTCTGTGGTGGAGGGGAGGGGTGCAAGGCTGGTCTCACTCTGGCCTGGCCTCCCCGCCCCTCCCCCTATTCCTGCCCCTGGCTTGAATGTGGCTCAACCCTGGAAGCCTTAGATCTGTCCCAGAGGGACAGGGGTCCAAGCCTTCCCTGTGTCCTGCCCACCTGGGGGTGGTAAACACGGGAGGGCGGGAACGGGTTGATTTTCTTCACTGCCCGGAGAAGCAAGCCCTTGGTGTTTGGGAATGAGGCACAAGTG